TCAACGGCTTTTATCGTGAACTTCAACCATTTTTATCGTGAATTGAGCTTTTGAATAAAGAGATCGATTTCCGTTTTTGTACCTATGACTGTTCCATGAAGAAATCAGACCGTATAGAATTTTCTGCTGTTTGCAAATGTGTATATGTATGTATGTGTGTGTGTGTTTGTGGTATGTAACAAGTGTTTCTTTGTTTGGTGTGCGTGTGTATGTGTGTATGCGTATGTGTGCGTGTGTGTGTGAGGGACATTTAGCACCTCAACATTCAAAACGCATATCGCAAACCATTCTTACGCATATTACAATTTAGAATCGCAAGTTTGCCACCAAAATCGACGATAGTCGATTTCGTTTTTATTTTGACCTTGGCACAGCCATCCACTCAAATCCAGATCCTTTTTAATGGAAGACTTACCCTTTCCGACCGTTCTGATTCGTTCATAACGTGCAGAAGCAGATTTCATTCTTTCATCAGCATTAGCCGGTGGCGATGTGTCACTTGTTGCCCTCATCTTTGACGCATCGAAATACAGCTCCACTACACGTCTATAAATCTTTATTCAATCCTGATAAAAGTTCAGAATAGCACCAGCCTCCGATAGTACTCAAAAATCCAAGAAGTTGGGCTCTGGTGAATAAATATTCTAGACGTACGCTAGAGAAGAAATACTCCCAATGCACACTAAGTGTCATAGAAATTTATAAAAAGGCTTTCACGATTAAAAGTAGATGAAAAACTCGTTTGTTGAATTGAAAAAAAGCCTGTGGATTCTTTCTACAATGGCATAGCTAAGCTTGCTGCCTTTCCTCCAGATCCTTGTCCTAGTAGGCTATGTTTTTGGGTATTCCAGAGAGGTGCTCAACTGCTTTGTACAAATTTCATCATGGGTGTGCGGAGTAGGCAAGCTTTGGTCGTTGTTGCCTCCATTTCCGGACAGTATTTCGCCGCAACAGCCTCATAAAGCGGCTCCTTAACGCTCAAAGCTCCCTCTTTTTACCTAATCTGCGAATCAATCTAATTGTAAACACTGCCTTAAATGAACAGGTTCAGGTAGTGGTGTTTCTCAGTCCATAGCCCCATTTACTGCAGAGACCAGGTGGCATATCGAATTATACTGAAATAATGTAATGTACTTGCTAAGTTGGAAGGCCCAGGCTAGCCGTATTTTTCAGTGTGCCGAAAAAAATCAGATTACGCTACAAAAAATTAATAGGGCCGTTAGATTCATTAAAAGGGATTGGACGACTTTTCGGAGGTTCCAAGCTCTATCCATTAGAAAAGCGCCCGCTCAGAACTTCAGCTTTGTAAACGAATGTGGCTATCCACCTTTCCATTTTTGAATTCCTCGATTAAACTGATTAGTTCGGTCCTCCCGAATTGAATTCCACAGGTCGTGAGTTATATCAGAATACAAGGCCCGGACCTGTTGGCCTGGCCTCCTGCATGTCTTCTCTAACGTTATTCATGACCCAAAGCCTCATCTCTGTATACAAATGAAAGCAACAAAACAGCAAAAACTTTCCAAACCCTCCCTGATGGAGAAAATTCGGGTGCAAATGATTACCGTCTGAAGTAATCCTAGAATCGAGTATAATGCGTTGATACCCGACCTGAGTCGACTGACTAATCTAATTTACTTCCGCCTCGAACGAGTTATATAAACAAATCTCGATGAAAACAAAGTTACCGAGTGTCTCATCAAAGGGGAGGTTACCCACGAGGACGTTGGAATTCTACTAAACAGACTACATGGTTCTTGGCTCACTCGGAGTTTTCGTAACGTTGGAAACATAGGACATTCGAACTGAAGTAACTGAACTTTTGAAGTCCGACAGTAACTGAAGTAGGTGGGAAAGGAACTGAAGAAAACCCTAACATACGAATGCTTAAAGGGATCCGGGTAACAACTACAGGATCAATACAAAATTTCCGTCCAAATGCGGTCAAGTTCATCAGTAATGCTGTTGGAGATTTTGAGGTTTAAAGGATGAAAACCATCGAAAATTCAAAACCACCAACAGCAAGGTTGCTGAGGCACAAGGAAAACGGTTCCTGACAATATTCCCCTGAAATTAGTACTAGGATGATCGCAGTAAAGCGCTCCTATCGCTCATTATGGAGGGATTGCGCCTGCTGTAGCAATTTTTGATCCCAAGAAAAATCGTAGAACTATACCAATGGAAGGTTCTACCTTGTCAGAAACTTTTTTGTTTGCTTATTTTGAAACGACTAAACTATTTGTAAATCCAGTAATCCTCAGGAATTTGTCTAACGGAACGCTCCGAGTGAACGTAGTGCAGTTGTAGAGCAGTCTATAATTAAAGCAAGAGACTTATTTGATTGTGGGAAGGAAAATCTTTCTTGAGGCACTGAAGTCGTGACTGTAAAGCTTGACCGATCGGAAAGCAAAGCAGCAATTTACACAAGTGCTTAAAAATAAGTTTCAAAGTGGCTCTGCAACCTCACGCGCCTTCCATTTGGAAGTTTTACTTTCTCAGCATAAAGACCTTTCTGCTGAACCTCGTCAAGTTGTAATTTTGCCCTTATCAACACGTGATTATATGTGAGCATAGCAACGCACAGTACACCTTTCCTAGGTTTCATAAATGGCGGGTATAATGTAAGGGATATACCAGTCACCCTTAGACATGCGAAAGCTCCCAGCTGTAATTCTAATGAATTAGCTCAATTTGGATAGTTGACCAAATGTGGAAAAAAACCTGTGAGATGAGGAAAACGTACAGTACCCGGAAAGCACAAGTACAGTGGATTCGAATACCGTCCAAGGCCTCTGCCAACAACTCGTCATCCTGTGAGAGAACAAAATTGATGAACAGCGAGGAGGAATGCGATGTGAGGCGGTGTAATGGAAGTGAATATGATGAAGAAGAAGGCGTCATAGGGTAATTGAAGAGAGGTTTCGATCGGACAAGCTCGAGGAAAGACTATTGAAACGGAACTGAGCCCGATATCAATCTGTACTTAGATTTAGGTTATAGAGAAGTATAGGTTTTGCTACATCATTTTTCACCGAAAGATTCTCTCAAGATGCCGAGAATACGCAGTGGAAGCTCACTAAATTTCTTCCTTCCGTTTGAGATTACTTGACATCATAGGAACGCTGGGTCAGGAACTCTAGACAGTTGGAAGTATTTGACTGAGTAGAAAGCCATTCTCGGAGCTCGAGTAACGCTCTTTTCTGGACAGAGGTGGTATAGTGGCAAGTGGCGCACTATCACACAGACATGGTCCCGGGTTCGAGTCTCAGCTGGATATATGTCTGGGCGAATCAGGCTTTCCATCCCTACGGAAAAGGTTTACGGGCGTGGCGTTGTCTGGGAGGATAAAAGCACTGGCTTGTACATCGGCTGGCCACTGCAATTCATTGTTATAGGCTACATACGCCTTCAATACGATACTACGTGCTGAATATGGCTAGACCGTCCGGTCACTTCATGGTTAAATGGAAGGGTTAGCGGATAAGCTATAGGTACAAGCGTAGGTCGTGCCCTTACATAAAAGCTTTCAGAAATTCTCGGTAGACTGAACTCTCGTGAAATACACGTGAGATACTTTCCGTACAACTTAATAATATACGCAAAACTCATTAACCGTGAAAATACAAATGTCAACT